CATGTATCACTAGTGATCCCCCACAGGGGTTCTAACCCCCACAAACTGATGCTCACAGTCAATCATGGCCCCGTTGGCCCCCAACCAGTCCATTCTGATACTCACTTTCAGCCCCCGCAACGGTATCGAGCCTAAATCAACACAATACCTTTCACAGTGCACATTCAGGACATAGTCCTGATACACCCTCATAGCACTAACGGTGCGACATCCGCAATCTCCACCTCAAGCGGGGAATCTAAAGTTCCCGGCACTTCCCGGAACTTCTTGATAAGCGCAAGAGATATGAACGATCGTGTTACACCTAGATCAAACATGACATGAGCAGACATACCATTGACCAAAAAGGTCCCTACACAAGCATATAATACGCATAAGCGAAACAGTTACCTAGAGCAGGGAAGAATAATTACGTACCAGCCACTAGATCCGGCGCTGTGCGTGACTCTTCGGTAGTCAGTTGGAATGCACAGTTCTTCACTTCAGGAGCTTCCGCCTTAGCAGGGCGACCATCGGTAATCCTCAGTGTACATCGGTATGAAATGGGACTGGAGGCTGATTAAGGAATGAGTCTTGGGGAGTTTAGGATGTTTATATAGGGTCCAAACAACTTAGGATTTGGGCATCAGCTACATACACCCAGTGTACATTGAGTACACACAATGTACTAGGCTGCCCAATGTGTTTTATCTTTAAGGACCAAAGGAGTACTTTTGCAAACAATTTTCATAATAAGAGCATAAATGGAAAGTTACCACCGTAGAAATCCTTGAAAACCAGTAGAAATACATAAAAAAAATGCTTTGATATACACACACACACACACACACATATATATATATATATATATATATATATATATATATACACACACACACACACACATACACACACACATAAATTCGTTGAAAACAAAATTAGAAAAAAAAATCATTATTAATTCATTTTCCAATATATATATATATATATATATATATATATATATATATATATATATATATAGGCTTAGATTATTTTTTTTACTAACTATTATGTGCCAGAATGCACAAATCTAGACAACAAGATGGAATAGAATCAAAGATCTTGATATGAGGGTCTATGATATTATAATAGGATAACATGTACCATATAATCACACAAATTTCAGCATAAGGGCATTTGACTCAATTAATCTATATTAAAAAAGGAAATTTTTGGATTTTTAGAAATAATTAATTCCTTTAATTTTAAAAATCTGAATATTTTAAATTAATTTAGATTTAATTAAAATGTAATTTTTAATAATAACCGATTTTATTCTGTCAGAATGAAAACAAATCTACCATAAGCTAGTAAATATATATATATATATATATATTATATATATATATATATATATATATATATATTAAAATTATTCTTGTAGAATATAGTTACATTCTATATATTTTTTAAAATTTAATGCTTAAAGACTTATATAACATATTATCAAGAATAACATTTTCTAAAGAGTACAAATTTTATTCTTTCAGAATCACTAATTACATTAATTTGTAAAAAATAAGACTATAAACAGTTATTACATTCATTCTAAAAAAAATATATAACTAATAATGGTTTAAGAATTACTTATTCGTAAACAATAAATGGTTAAAAAGGAAAAATAAAAAACATTAAAATCTAACAAAAAGACTAATCTATTCTGAAAGAATATTATTATGAAGAAACACTTTATATATTGTCGCAGAATATATTCTGGTAGAATACACTCTCGTTTTCCATGTTATCTTCCGTTTCCACATTAATATCAACCTCTTCAAAACATAAATCCACAAAGAAAACATAATCAACTTTCGAATATTAAAAAATTTAGTGCATTCTAAGAGAATAAAGACAATAAATTCTGATAGAATGTAGTACAAACTATATATTCTGACAGAATGTATTAGACATTAAAGAAATGTAATTTATTTTTAATAGAATGTAATCCTAAAACTGCAATGAAAAAAGATGAAGTCTTATAGCGATTTCATCGAACATTTAGAGGGCAGAAAAATTATGCAAAATCTCAAGATATACATATAATTATGAACAATTATATTCAGTGAGACTAAAAAACAAAGTCCGTGGAAAACTAATTTATATCCTACGAATATAAGATCATTGATAGTAATTCATAATTAATCATATGAACTAACAAGTAAGTAACACATTGTATATTTATATAAATGAAGCTAAAACATATATTATAGTTTTTTCATAGAATAGAAAGAATGAAAATGTTCTTAATTAATTAATCATAAATGAATTGATATAGTAAAAAAAAATTATACGTAGCTATAAATATATCATGTGAATGAAGTAATCCTTCAAAACATGGTCCCATTATAATACACATCTGATTCTTCAATCATACATTTTTGAAAAAATAAAACAAAAGAAAAGGTTTAAACATATACAATGAAACAAATAGCTTAGCCTATGCCAGCGTGGGTGGCTAAAAAATCACAATCATCACATATATATACAAATGTTTATAGGTAACCAATGCATCTAAACCTTCTAGAAAAATCTAAGTTGACCGACTTTAGTGTGATTTAACATCTTTTTAGAATTCAACTGTTATATGGTTTGTTACGATGTGTATGTGATAACTACAGTTTCTGTACCAAGTTTGGCAAGTGCACCATTAAAGTCTACAAATAAAGAAATCGGCACCAAGCAATAAGTAAAACCACATACGAATATAACGAAAATATAAGAGATTCATGAATGAAGAAAAAAAAAAAACAAATGATATAGTAAGAAAAACCTTCAATTCCTTTTTTGCTTTGCAAGCATCAAATCACCTACTATTTTTAGCTTTTCAAGGATTGATTCAAAGGATATTTTTCATAGATGATTGCTATCATCGTCTCAGTGGGATGCGATGGATATTATGTTGGTCCCTTCTTTCTGTCATCATCGAGGATGTGTGAAGGTTTGAGGCAATGATAAATGCAACATAGAGGCCGACGGAATGATGTACTGTGTGAATGTTAGGAGCAATTGTAGGGTTTTTTCTATAGGTTTTGATTTTCACATCCCATATTTAAAGGGATAATAAATATACTAATTATCCTCATAATTAAATATGCAAAGATTACTATAATACTTTTAAATGATTTATTATTTTCTGAATTTTCATTGGTGCATACAAGCACACAATAGTTGTTAGAAACATTTGAACCTACCTCTCACTCACATACACATACACACACACACTCTCTCTCTCTCTCTCTCTCTATATATATATATATATATATACCTGAAAAAAATTTAAAGTTTTTTTTATTTAAATGTTTTTATACATGTATTCCTTATATTTACAAGTAGTTTTCTTATTTAAATCTTTATTTAAATGTTTTTTATTTAAATAACATATATATATATATATATATATATATATATGTAAAAGAATTTATTTAATAATATTAATAAATTTAAATTTAAAAAATAATATGTTTATTTATTTATAATAATAATAATAATAATAATAATAATAATAATAATAATAATAATAACAACAACAACAATATCAATAAAAATAAAAAGTTTTTTCTAGAAAAATCTCAATATTTTATAACAATTTAAAACATAATTCTAAGATAATTTGTTACGGGATTTAAATAGGTAGAAAAATATTATTTTTATATAATATTATATCAATTTTAATTCCTCAAAATTTTATAGTTTGGAATGTCAAGTGCCCTTGAAACTTTATGCGGACAAGCGTACGGAGCTAAGCAGTATGAGAGGGTTGGTACCTACACATATGGCGCCATAATTTCACTCATTTTCATCTGTTTCCCCATTTCCATTTTGTGGATTTACATCGACAAACTCCTAATCCTTTTGGGCCAAGACCCTTCAATTTCAATCGAAGCACGTAAGTTCTCAGTGTGGCTAATCCCTTCGCTTTTCCCCTATGCCATACTCCAATCGATCACTCGCTACCTTCAGTCACAAAGTCTCATCTTTCCGATGCTATGGAGCTCAGTTGTTGTACTTGTTCTTCACGTACCCGTATGTTGGGTTCTAGTGTTTCAGCTCGGACTTGGGACAGCTGGAGCCGCGTTAGCCATTGGAACTTCATATACTTTGAATGCGATTCTTCTCGGGCTTTACTTGTGTTATTCGAAATCATGCGAAAAGACTCGTGTAACGTGCTCAGGAGATGTTTTTTCAAGTATCAAGGAGTTCTTTCGCTTTGCCATTCCATCTGCTGTCATGATTTGGTAAAACCTCGAAGAACCTTCAAAAATCTGTAACATTTAGACCATTTACAAGATGTAATTCATGGATTTTTTTTTTGTAGTCTTGAATGGTGGTCATATGAGATTGTGATTTTGCTATCTGGGTTGTTGCCAAATCCTCAATTAGAGACTTCAGTGCTTTCAATTTGGTAATCTTCGTTCAATCTTCCTTACAAACTTATGGAACTTATGATTTTTGAACATTTCATACAAATTTAACATCTCTCGTATCATCTTTTTGTAACAGCCTAACCATTAGCACCATACACTACTTCATACCTTACTCATTCGGAGCTGCTGTAAGGTTTGCACTTAACCTCTTCCACGTTTGCCAAAGTGAACATGCATCCAATTCCCAGACTAAAATGCTAATCTTTTTCAGCACACGAGTATCCAACGAGCTAGGAGCTGGGAACCCAGAGGCTGCAAAAACCGCTCTCATGGCTGCATCAGGTCTTGGAGCAGTGGAAGCAATCATCGCCATAACCACTCTCCTATGCTCACGTTCTATTCTGGGTTATGCATTTGGTACAGAGAGAGAACTAGTCGACTATGTGCAAGATATCACCTTTCTTCTTTGTTTCACCATATTTACAGACACAGTACAAGCAATTCTTTCAGGTAAGCTTAAACCCTAACAAAAGCTATTGAGATTTGGTCTTCAAAATGATAATGAAAGTTGCTTCTTGTAAACAGGAGTTGCTAGAGGGAGTGGTTGGCAACATATTGGGGCTTACATTAATCTTGGATCGTATTATCTTGCTGGAATCCCAATGGCTCTAGTTCTTGGTTTTGTGTTTAATCTAAAAGGGGAAGGATTGTGGAGTGGATTAATTGTTGGATCAATGGTGCAATGTGTTCTACTTACTCTTGTGACATCTTTTACGAGTTGGGAAAAGCAGGTTATTGATTCAACCCATAAAGTTCTTTTGATTTTAGAAGTTTGCTAAGGTATGAACTGATAAATTTCAATGATCTTTGTGTGTATTTATCAGGTGACAAAGGCGACGGAACGGATTTTGGATGAGGCGAGTAATGATGAGGAATGATACTTCAAGAAAATGGGTACTCAAGATACACTTGACTTATCAAATTCTATTTTTGTTTATGATGTTTAAAAATATTCTTGAAGAAATGAAAATGGAAACATAAAATGAGGATAAATTTGTGAAAAGTTAGAACTTAATTCTTATGTATAAAATTGTTCTTTATTGAGTAAATTACTGAAATCGTCCCTGTGATTTGGTTAAAATTGCACGATTGGTTCCTAACTTTTCTTTTGCACTCGGATGGTCCCTATGGTTTGATTTTGTTGCTTTTTTCGTCCCTTACATCCATAAAATAGGGACCAAACATGCAATTTTGACTAAACCATAGGGACGAAAAACGCAATAAAGTCAAACCATAGGGACCATCCGAGTCCAAAATAAAAGTTAGGGACCAAAAGTGCAATTTTGATCAAACCATGGGGACGATTTTAGTAATTTACTCTTCTTTATTTTGTGTTATGTATAAAATTGTGTTTTATTTTGAGTTATGTAAAAAGAAAACACCATATATAGTTTGAATGATTAATGTCATGTTCCATTTAAAAGTCATAGTAGTTCTAATAAAACCTAAAGAGATTTGCACATGCTCTCTATCTCGTTTAACATGGTAGCACTAGTCATAAAAGCCTTATAATCTATCGTTACAAACCACATGTTTGCATTGCTTGTCTTGTTTTTCATTGCTTTATAAAAACATAGGATGTCATAACTAATATAAAATATAAGCATAAACAATCCTTACAATATCTTAGACTAACACTATATATCTCCTTGAATCTGTCATTGTGCATGTACCTTTCTACCGATATCTGTGATACAAAGAAGTTGAGTGGGTCAGGTTGAGAAACCTAGTGAGTAAATAGAGATTTCTACCCACAATAATATAGTTAATATGTATATTTATCAAACAAACAATCAACCCAATTATCCATCCTCGTTTCTTCTATATTCATTTCTAAGAACATCTCCTAAAGATATCACCTACATCACATTTCATCGCTAAGGACTTCTCCTAAGGTTCATCGTCTAATCATCGCATTTCATATTTTCATCGCTAAGGTCTTTTCCTAATGTTCACCGCCTATCATCGCATTGATAGTACTGCTTCGGGGATTCCTCTGCAATATAAGTCATTACATCACATGAACACACAATTCGTACATCGCCTGAAATCGTAATTAATCACCTACCACGTTGCAATCCTACTGGTATTCCACTGGATTGTTTAGATGAATCTGTGGTTCTCATCTATACTCTGGTAAATTACTACATTGCAATCATCACAAATGTCGCCAGTAAGGGTCAAGGAATCTCTTAATCATTTTTTTCATTTCTCATATCCCATCTTTCATCTCCCATCTCTCATCACCTATCAGTACCCGATATATATATATATATATATATATATATATATATATATATATATAAATGCTTATATAATAAAATCGAGTAAAATCATATCATGTTCATCCAACATATATTGCAAATAATAGGCTCACATAGCATTTAATTATCTAAATACTTAATATCTATGTGTAAGATGAAAGTAACTATGCACTTACTTGATAAATGTACATGCCTTTGAATTTAAGTAGAACGTGGCCTTGGTAATTTAGTTTTTCCTTTGACGCGACCTACGTTCGAATATCATTAAGTCTTTGTCTTATATTCCTGGCAACTAATGATAGTCTACATTTCTCACTAATCCTAATGTCTACATCAAGATCTATCAAGTAACAACAACCTGGTAGTATCATATCTGGGGTACATGGTAGTATCATATTGGATGTATGGTCCGTTTGGTTTACATGGTATACTGTTTGGAAATACCACTTTAAACACCCCACTAAATCTAGCCTAAACATCATTCCCGTAAGTAGATTAATCAATATAATGACTTGGAATCACTAATAAATCTTATTTATAGATTCTTAACAAAGACTATGAATATAAATATAAATTACACTAAAATAAAGTTGAGTGTAATTTAACTTACGGAGATTTGCTAGACAAAAATCTGAAAATTATACTGGTAGAACTCCGACCTGCTAGCTACTAGATGTCGGGCTCTCAAGGATCTCAGGGCTTCGCCAAATACTTAAAACTAAGGGGAAATGGGCTCAAGACTGAGAGAAACTCGAGAGAGGATGTTTGGATTGGTGAGGAAATCAAATGAGAGGGCTGAAGTATTTATAGGACAATTGCCTGCCGTGCCCAACCAAGTTTGTGCCATGTCCAAGCTTGGTCGACACTCCTTCCATTCAGAGTGTGACACATGGCGACTTTTGGCTGGTGCTACCACGTAGCTTCCAAAAGATGCATGTCGCGCCTCTATTGCGCGAGGTGCACACGGGAAACCTAATTTTTTTTATCTTCTTCATATGAACTCCGGTTTTGTCGTTCTTTATATCTGCGTGTAGCTATCGTTGAGATCTCCAACGTTTGTTTAGACTCTGTCGACTAATTCTTACTTTATTTTTAAAGCTATGTTTTTATGGGCTTAAACTATTAAAGTTTGTATAAAAATCATAAATCTCTTATACTATGTCTATTCTTGATTGTCTTTATATCGACAGATAGGTATTGAAGAGATCTTCAACTCTCGTTTAGATTGTTTTTCCTAACAATTGATCGATTTCTATTTTAGTTTCTATGTTGTGCACTATTGTGCTGGCATTTCGAAAAATCATAACTTCCTCTCATGAAGTTAGATTTGGATAATCTCTATATTCAAGCTCTCGGTTCAACGACTACTATGACTTTTGTTTAGATTATTTTTCCTAAATAATGTTCTATCAAAAGTGTCAACTTATTGTTGTGATGAATAATTATCGTATTATTCTTTAATCATCTAGCCCCATCTTGAGTGCGGGCATTACAGATATGCATGGCCATCATCCATGCATATAGGCAACACATTCACCATGCATGGAGTGTGTCGCACCCCCAAACCAGAATGGCGGAAACATTCGGGGGTGGATGACTTCACGTAGTATCACAACAATTGAATATTGTAAAGAAAGTAACACAACCATCATATATATAAAATGAAAACGTATATTGTTGCGTTATACATGTTATAAAAAGAATATTACAATATGATGATAAATGTTTAATGATAAAAACATCCTTTGTGTTCCTTCTCCCAAAAGTTGGTAGTTTACCTGTATCATTGATTCCCTGAGAAATACAAGTGGTTTTGAAAAGTGTCAACAATTAAGTTCGTGAGTTCATGAGTGTTTTGAGTTGAAAAGTATATCCCTTTTGGTAGTAAATTGGTAAACGAGGTTTTTAGAAAATCCAATATTTTCTTGTAAAGTGAAAAAGTTTCCAAAGTTGGAATGTGTTACTAACCTTTATAATCAAATGATAACAATAATTTTGTATGAAAATATAATGTAGGAAAACTGCGATGCACATATGAATCTCGTAAATCAATCTTGTTTTATACTTTTTATGTGAGTTTTATAACCATACTAATGACACTGACGGCCTGTAACAACATTCTTCAAGTGTTGCAGTGTTATGACATTTGTCACCCCAGACCTGCCGGTCTAACTATAGCTAGTAGTTTAGGTGCGGGATTGTCAATCCCGTATAGATCTATACACAAGTATCACGCTCTCCCTCCAAGAGATTATGGTATATAATACAGGACTTGAAATGCATACAAAAATGTACGTTGAAGTTTAAATATCTCACATTACTAGTATAAGTAGATTTACAATGAAATGACCTTACTTCTTTTGAAAGTGTTTCGTTTTTCAAATTGTATAAAAATGTAGGATTGACTTGCTAACTATACCCATTATAGTTTTTCAGATAGTATGTTCCATTTAGTAGAAATAACTTAGTGATATAATCGCCCTTGTATACATAAGATGTTTGTATCGATATTCGAAGTTAGAAATTGCATTTATGTTTATAAAACGATACTTTTAACGTGTAATGTACTTGTATTTCCCCCCTAAAACATGAAAAAGAATTGAAAAGTAGGGGTATGAACTCACTCGTTAAGTTTGAAGAGAGGGACTAGAGTTGAGCAGAGTTTCGATCGCGGATAGTTGCGTCGTCGGGCTCTTCGGGGATCTCTGCAACGTAAATCTTTCGTCGGGGGCTCGAGTGCGGAAACCAAGGCAATGAAATGGTCTCTGGAACAGGGAGAAATGCTGAGAAATTGTGAAGGTGTGCCAAAACTCGAGTTTTATGCCCTCTATTTATAGGGCTGAAACCCTCGTACGCGGCGCGTACTTCCGGAGTACGCGGGGCGTACTTCGTTACGCGGGGCGTAATAATGCGTCATGGCTTACGACTCCTGGCTAGCTAGGCGTAGCTTGGGCGGGCCGATGGGACTCGACTCTGGGTCTAGTACGCGGGGCGTACTCCCAGAGTACGCGGGGCGTAATCCCTGCTTCCAACTTCTAAATTCCGTAACTTTCGCGTACGAGCTCCGTTTTTCGCGTTCTTTATATCCACGCGTAGGTGAGATTATGCTCTACAACTTTCATTTAGACTCCGTCGGCTAGTTTTGACTTTATTTTTAATGATATAATTTTAATAGGCCGGGCCTCCTAAAGTTCGTTAAAATTTCATAGGTTCTTTATTCGACGTCGGTTTTCGTTTGTCTTTTGATTGTTTTATTACCACCGAGGAGATCTTCAACTTCCGTTTAGGTGGCGATAGCTAAATAACACTCGATCTTTAATCCGAGTTTTTAGCCCTCTACTACTGTTACGAAACTTTGAAAATTCGTAACTTCTTCATACGAGGTCCAATTTGGGCGATCTTTTTATGCACGCTCATCTTTCAACGAGATCTACGACTTTTGTTTAGATACTTTAAGGCTAAAATGTATTTTATTGAGATTCCACTTTTTACGTCAAATAATGTTTTAACGTCGTGTCGTAATTATACGAGTGGTTATAATTTCTTCAATATAACTCGGTTTTGAGTGTTCTTTATGTTTTTGGAAACCTGGGCATGATATCTAATATTCGATGCATCCCAACTTAGATACCTGAACACTTTATTTTCGAGGTTAATTTCGTTGTTTTTAGCTTTCGAGTGTTTACAATGCTTTTGGGAAAAATAGGGTTGTCACATCATCCCC